ATGAGGGAATGGATATGCTCATTAACTCTATTCCAAATTGTAGGCATATAATAGCACATTATATTCCATAAATATGTATAATTAAAATGTGTCAATTAAAATTTAAAACAACAAATTTAAAAATAAACTCATTTCCAAAGCTCATATTTGAGAAAAAGAAACAACCTCACAGTATATTGTTAGTGTGCAGACCTGTGTCGCTTTTAGATACTCCCATCTGTACGGAAGAAGAGAGTGTGCACATAAACGTGGGCATCGGGTAGCCATTTTCTGGAAGGACACACAGGAACCCATTGGCCATAGTCACTACTAGGGAGCGGGTTAAGAAGTAAGCTTACATTTGTCATAAACTCTTCTGGACACTTTTATTTTTCTACTAAGTGCATAATTTTTCTTGAAATACTGGTTTGAAATGAATGAAAATGTTTCTCCACCTCACAGAAAATGCTGTGCTGAGCAAACGCTTGGAGGGGAGGACGCCACCTCCAAACACCTGTCTAGTCCAATGCTTCCATTGTATGCCCCCATCCTGGGCCTGGGTAAGACCTCAGAACTTCCCCCCTGCATCCTCATGCCACAGTGTGTGCCTTCCAATATCCTGTCCACACTAGCCCTAGAAGAGCTTTCCGGTACCCAGATCTGACCTCTCCCTCCCCTGCTCAAACACCACCCCTGGCTCCCCATTACCCTTCGGGTAAAGTTGACCCTTAAAACTTCTCTCTCCCTCTGTCTCTGTCGTCTCTCTGCACACCTTTGCCAGCCTGTCTCCTGGGCCTTGAACATTGTCTCCCAACTGCACCCAAATGTCTACTGACCATCACTCAGGGACTCAGCCGAGACACTTTTTAACTCCCAGTCCTGCTTCTCTTCCTCTCAACTCTATTCACGCTCCTGTGGGCTGGGAATGTCCTCATGGGGGACTGTTCCCCCACCAGACTGGGAGCACCTGAAAGGCACATCCCTGGCCTGGGTCATTCCCAAGTCTCCAGAGCACAAAAAAAGTGCTGGGCACAGAACTGCGGGTGGGAAGGCAGCGTGGGAGTGTTTGCTACATGGAGGCTGGGTGGGTGAGTGACCCAGGTGTTCTGGACAGGAGACGGACGACTTTTACCTCTGGGTCTCCTTTGTGAATCCCTGGACTGGACAGTCGGGTAGGAATTAGGGCACAGAGGAGCAAACTCAGTGTATTAAGCTGTTTAAAGCAATGATATTTCATGGAGAAAAGAAAGGGTGTGGAGACGAAGTTCATTAATGATCACGTGCTGAGTGGCATCATTAGCCCTCACAGAGCGTTACTAGTTCTCTCAGCAACCCCAGTCTTTCTGTCCTGAAAACCTGCAATCATTCCCCTGATAGCCAACTGAGTCCCAAGTCCTGCCTCTGGGCTCTGCTCCATTTACCACTAAGAAATACCAGTAGAATCAAGAAATACAACTTCTCTCCTCCCCACCTCGTCAGCAGAACCAAGGAGAGGGGCTCAGGCACGGCCATGAGGACCTGCACTCACCATTCAATCTCTTTGGGCTCGCGGTCCCTCAGCAGCTCTTGTACCTCCTGCCGGCAGCGCTCCTGGTATTCTGGATGCCTCGCAAGGTTGTACAGGACCCAGGAGAGTCCACTGGCCGTGGTGTCATGGCCTGAGGTGCAAGAAGGTTGAGGTGGGTCTCTGAGCTGCTTCAGCACCAGAGGGGTGGACAGCGCCCTGACATGGAGGCCCTCAGGGAGGGTGGGAGGGATGGAGTGATCAGGGTCCATCCACCGCATCCCTGGCATGGAGAAACCCCTACCCCCACTGTAGTCCCACACTGGGACCCTCACCACCAAACATGAAGGTATCAGCCTCCGCTCTTATATTCTCATCTGACAACTGCTTTCCATCTTCATCCTGCAGAGAAGGCAAAACCTAACAAATTACACAAGCTCTGAGACTCCTGGGTCTAACCTGAGACAGTCTCTGAAGATGCATCCTCCTCCCAGAAACCCAAACCCACCCTGCACTCCTAGATCTCTCCT